GTCACTAGTCACCCCCTCTCTCACTCTGTCACCAGTCATTCCCTCACTCTGTCACCAGTCACCCCTTCCTTCCTTCACAGTGACAGAGTGAGGGGATGACTGGTGACAGAGTGAGGGAAGGGATGAATAGTGGCAGAGTGAGGGAAGGAAGAGATGACTGGTGACAGAGTGAGGGAATGACTGGTGACAGAGTGAGAGAGGGGGTGAATAGTGACCGAGTGAGGGAGGGAGAGGGTGACTAGTGACAGAGTGAGGGAGGGAGAGGGTGACTAGTGACAGAGTGAGGAAGGGGGTGACACAGTGATAGTCACCCCATTCCTCCCTCTGTCACTAATCACCACCTCCCTCACTCTCACTAGTCACCCCTTCCCTCCCTCACTCTGTCACTAGTCACACCCTCCCTCTCTCTGTCACTAGAGTGAGGGGGTGACTAGTGACAGAGTGAGGGGGTGACAGGTGATAGAGTGATGGGGTGACTAGTGACAGTTACCACCTCCTTCACTCTGTCACTAGTCACCCCCTCCATCACTCTGTCATTGTGTCACCCCCTTCCTCACTCTGTCACTAGTCACCCACTCCCTCCCTCACTCTGTCACTAGTCACTCACTCTGTCACTAGTCATCCCCTTCCTTACTGTCACTAGTGACCCACTCCCTCTGTCACTAGTGACCCACTCCCTCTGTCACTAGTCACACCCTCCCTCTCTCTGTCACTAGTCACACCCTCCCTCTCTCTGTCACTAGTCACACCCTCCCTCACTCTGTCACTAGAGTGAGGGGGTGACTAGTGACAGAGGGAGGGGATGACTGGTGACAGAGTGAGGGACGGAGGGGGTGACTAGTGATAGAAGGAGGGAGGGAGTAGTGACAGAGGGAGGTGATGACTAGTGACAGAGTAAGGGAGCTGGTGACAAGTGACAGTCACCACCTCCCTCACTCTGTCACTAGTCACGCCTTCCTTCCCTCACTCTGCCACTAGTCACCCCATCACTCTAGTGACAGAGTGAGGGAGGGTGTGACTAGTGACAGTTAGGCAGGGAAGGGGTGACTAGTGACAGAGGGAGGGGTGACTAGGGACAGAGTGAGGGAGGTGGTGACTAGTGACAGTCACCACCTCCCTCACTCTATCACTAGTCACCACCTCCCTCCGTCACTGTGTCACCCCCTCCCTCACTCTGTCACCAGTCATCCCCTTACTCTGTCACTAGTCACCCCTTCCCTCCCTCTGTCACTAGTCACACCCTCCCTCTCTCTGTCACTAGTCACACCCTCCCTCACTCTGTCACTAGAGTGAGGGGGTGACAGGTGACAGAGTGAGGGAAGGGGTGACTAGTGGCAGAGTGAGGGGATGACTAGTGACAGAGTGAGGGAGGTGACGACTAGTGACAGTGGGGGGGGTGACTAGGGACAGGGGGGTGACTAGGGACGGGGGGTGACAAGTGACAGAGGAGGGGGGTGACTAGTGACAGAGGAAGGGGGTGACTAGTGACAGTGAGGAGGGGGGGTGACTAGTGACAGTGAGGAGGGGGGGTGGTGACTAGTGACAGTGAGGAGGGGTGACTAGTGACAGTGGGGGGGGTTATAAAAATCTTGGGCCGCTGGAAGTCATCCGCTTATGCTGTCTATATACCTCAGCCTATAAATGAATTAAGAAAAGCATTTGTTAAGATGTCATCATAATATGACAGTCCCATGTCGTGTTTTCGAAATAAATATCTTTGATATCACCAGATTGGTATTACTGTTGCCCACTTATTTACAGGCCTACCACACACGTCGGTTTTGGCACACCTCAACCAACTTTTATTTATTATGGTAAGTGTACTTAATTGCTATTTCATACACTACTGAAATGGCCCCGAACACAAATATACATATATTATATACATATATAATATATATATATATATATACACACACATATATATATTTATTTCATACTTAGTGTATTTTTATATAAATATATTAAGATAAAAATATGAAATTATATATATATATATATATATACACACACAATAATTATATATATATTGTATATATTTATATAAAATAAAAAGAATTAATACATTTAAAAAAAAACAAAATACAGTAATAATTAAAAAAAATTATATCTATCATATATATATACATATATATATATAATTCCACCCTTACTGTATTTTGATATTAATATATATATATATATACATATACCTGTCAAAATACAGTTAGAATTAAATTATATATATATATCTTTAAATATATAAAAATGATAAAAACAATATAGAGAAAGTGACGGACTACAAAAGTCCTAAATAGGAGAGTGACAACTAAGGGAAGGAGTCTAAGGACGACAAAAAAATCAGTCTAAGGACGACAAAAAAAATGGGGATAACGTGAAATCAATATGTAGGGAGAGACAAGAATATTACTGGGCATGTCTGAGCATAACTAGGTCCACAAAGCTAGAACTCCCCCACTGTATCTGAGAGCAATCAAAATCTCTAGCTGATGATTCATCACTGAATACAAATGTGTATATTATTGCAGCAAAAGCTAACAGTATTATGACATTCACAGTTAAAATGTTATGCAGAACTTGAAAAATACCCATATTTCATAATATCTAAAAAGTTTTAGATTTAATTCATATTAAATTATGTTTCAATTATGAATATTTGAGAGAGGTGAATTATGGTTGAACAGACTTATAGCGCAAATTCCAGGTTTTGTTTTCATTAGAATGTGTACAATTGCCTCTGTCCTTAAGGGGTTAAGCTGCTGGTGACTACCGTCACAATTTTAAATTATAGATGAAAATATTTGATTTAAAAAAAACTTTCTCCAATCAGCCTAGTCACAGCTTGTCTATTTGAACTTATACTTTGCAATTTGGATTGTAATTCATTACAATATGGTGTTTAGTAAATTAACCCCTTGTATATCTGTAAATATTGTCTATGATGTAGATAGCCTGCTGCTTGGTCCATTGAGTGACCACTCAGAAAACAGTCCAATTTCCCCAAACTGCAGAGCAATCCCTCTTTACAGCAGAACCAAGGTCTTAAGTATATATGTATATATATATATTTTTTTTTTTTGTAGTGACTTACAGCATTTTCTCTTTTCCAAGCGTATTTGTTTAAATCTTGTGCCATATCCTGTGATGTCATGCATATATGATTAATTATGCAAATTGGCATGGCTGGTATGTTTTTCCAAGCAACCCTACTGGCAGTGTTTATCAATACCTATGTGTATTTGTCTGGCAGTGGCTATCAGTATCTCTGTGTGTGTTTGTGTTTCAATGTCTATCAGTATCTATGTGCAGGGCCGGATTAAGAGCGCATTAAGACCTGGTGCTGACAATTATGATGGGCCTACAGAATCTTATCGACAGAAAACACTAAAACAATCATACCTTTCAATCTTCATGTATTATTATTATTATTATGTTATTTATATAGCGCTGTCAAATTCCGCTGCGCTTTACAATGGGTGGACGAACAGACATGTAGTTGTAACCAGACAAGTTGGACACACAGGAACAGAGAGGTTGAGGGCCCTGCTCAATGAGCTTACATGCTAGAGGGAGTGGGGTAAAATGACACAAAAAGGTAAGGATAGTATTAGACTAGAAGAGTAGGACCTGGTACAAGAAAATTGCAATTTACATAACCCAGATTGCAATTTTCAATGCCTATGTGCTTTATAAAAAGGAAGCCATAGGTAGACCATGCCCATTTCTAGAGTTTATGGTCCAAATTTTGTCTCAAATTATATTTGCCCAGAACCCAAATCCTAACCCTCCTTTGGAATCAGAAGATGTCCAACGACTTTTCAGCAAACATTTCCCTTCCCGAATCCCCCCCACACCCTGTAAAAGGTCACCCCAACGAAAATGCTGTGTTTGCTGGAAAAGAGGAGTCCGAAAGGACTCCAGTTATTATTGCCCCTCCTGTACATCCCTACCTGCCCTCTGCATAACAGACTGTTTCAAAGTCTACCATACAGAGCTGAACTACTAAATCACTCTGTATGCTACTTTGGCAGTTTGTTTGCTTGATTTCCCTGGATTCCCTGACCTCGGCTTGTCCTGACTACGCTTCGTTAGCTGCCTGTACCGACCCATTGGCTTGTTTTACCGACTACTCTCACTTCTGGATTCCCCTGACCTTGGCCTGTCCCTGTTTATGCTAGCCATTCTAAAGTGGCTACACCAAACAACTCAAAATACTACATTTGTAGTACTTGAAATGTTCCTTCACAAAAAAAGCAAAAAACTAATCACAGGGTTAATGCTACAGTATCTGAGTCAAAGATCTATCTGCCTCTCTCTGCCTTCAGATCAAAGTGTACTTGGGGGTACTGTACTATTCCTGTGATATACTAAAAACCTGGAAACATTGTACATGTAGGTATCGTTATATTCAGAAGACAGTGTTAAATCAAAATACTGAGGTTTTAGTGCACTAACTAATACCAGGATTATGACATTTCTATTGAAAATGCAATTTGTGATTAAAAACACAAAATAGCAGAAATTGCTACATGGGCCCATCATTTCTGTTAAAATGGCTAGACCAGACATCTCAAGGTCTGCCATTTGTTGTACTCTGAGATGCCTACTTTTGAAAATGGTATGCCATAACGGTGGAAATGTTATTACCCAGGCTGCCATGCTCTCTAAATAGCCACACAGGCCCAGCAAATCACTCTGTCAAATTTCCAACTTTGAAATGGACATCTAATATATTTGTCCCTGTGACTTCCCCAAAAAACAGAAAATCCGGTACATGGGGGTAGTGTTATATTCAGGAGACAATGTAAAAAAAAAAAAAAATAGTGAGGCTTTGTTGCAATAACTCACATCAGGAATAGGAAATGTCCTGTGAAAAGTGAGTTCATGTGTGGAAAAAAGCACAAAAAACTATTACCGCTATGAGGACCCTTCATTTCTGATAAAGTGGTTAGACCAAACTTCATAAAATGCACCATTTGAAATACTCTGGGTTGCCTACTTTTGAAAATGGTATGCCATAATCGTGGAAATGTTATTACCCAGGCTGCCATGCTCTCTCAAAGGCAAGATAGGCCCAGAAAATCACTTTGCCAATTTTCAATGTTTAAAACCAAAAATGGACAAGTGTATATTTGACCTTGTAACTTTCCAAAACCCCATAAAATCTATACATGGTGGGTATCGTGGCGCTCGTGAGACATCATTGAACAAAACTAGGAGTGTTTCAGGGCAGTAAACTATATACTGACGTTAATATTATCAGTAAAAGTACAGTTTTTATTTGAAAAATGCAAAGAAAAAAACAAAACACTAACTTTGGCTAGCATTTGTGCCCAAGTGGCTACTACAAAAGACTGGCCATACCCCATTTTGAATACCCTGGGATGTCTACTTTTTCAAATGGTATGCCATTAAGGGGTAATTTTCATTTCTTGGCTGCCATAGGGTCTCAAAGGCAGCCTAGACACAGCAAACTAATCTGACAAATTTCATTGTGAAAAAGCATGAATGGATAAGCCGTATATATGACCCTGTAACTTTTTAAAAACCCATAAAACCTATACATGGGGGTACCGTGGCACTTGTGAGACAACACTGAACAGAACTAGGAGGGTTTCAGGGCAGTATACCATATACTGACGTTAATATTATCAGTAAAAGTACAGTTTTTATGTGAAAAATGCAGAAAAAAAACCATAACACTAACTTTGGCTAACATTTGTGCCCAAGTGGCTACTACAAAAGACTGGCCATACCCCATTTTGAATACCCTGGGATGTCTACTTTTTCAAATGGTATGCCATTAAGGGGTAATTTTCATTTCTTGACTGCCATACGGTCTCAAAGGCAGCCTAGACACAGCAAACTAATCTGACAAATTTCATTGTGAAAAAGCATAAATGGATAAGCCGTATATTTGACCCTGTAACTTTCAAAAACACCATAAAACCTATACATGGGGGGTACTGTTTTACTCATGAGACATTTCTGAATACAAATATTTATGTTTTATTGCAGTAAAACCAAACAGTATTGTGACATTATCAGTTAAACTGACATGCAGAAATGGAAAAATATCAAAATATCTTAAGTTTTTAAACTTTTTTAGATTTTATTCATATAAAATGGAGTTCTATATATGAATGTTTGATATGGAATGAAAGCCCTGTTTCCCCTGAACAAACGGATATATAATAATTGTGGGTGCACTTAGTAAGAAAGAGGTAAATTGTAGTTGAACAGACAGAGAGTCAAATTCTGTGGTTTGTTTACATTTTGTTTTGATCACAACTTGTACATTTGGCTCCGTCCTTAAAGCGGCACTGTCATGCCGAAACCCGTTTTTTTTTTTAACCCCCCTCCCGCCTCCACTACATCCAATTGACCCACTAGTCACCCCCAAATGCCCCTAAGCCCCCCACATTACCTATTTTTAATCCTTATTTTCTGCCCCGATCTTGATTCAGGGCGCCGCCATCTTTGTGTGGGTAGAGGAAGTCCCTGTGGGACACGTCATCAGCCCACACTAGACAGACTGTGAGATTCCCGCACATGCCCAGTGAAACACCTGGACATGCGAACGGGAATTTCATCTATTCATTCATTCATCAGACAGACGAATGAGTGAATAGAAAGATCAGCCGAACAAACAAACACAATGTATCAGTGTATCTGAGTATCAGTGTATGTTTGTTCGTGCAGTTTATTACAAGGAGGGAGCTACCGGCATGCAGCTCCCTCCTTGTAATATGTAACTATAGAAGCGGCAGGGAGCAGTGCTCCCCACCACTTCATAAGCCCCCCAGTACCCCCTCTCACTCTATGGGGGTCAATATGACCCCCATAATAGCACAAGAGAGATTTAAATCTCCCAAATGCCCCTACTCACTATACCGCGAGTAGGGGCATGTCCACTAAACAGTGAGCAGCCTCTGGCTGCTCACTGTTGAAAAAAAAAAGACATAAATTACAATAAGGGGGGGCGGACCTATTGTCCTCCCCCACCCCCCTGAGCGGCGGGTGGGGGCCATGAAGATAATGGGGGG